GGAGGTGTTCTTTTAAGCACACAAAAGAAGAGTAGGCATTCTAGGCAGAGCAGAGCCTGGGCAGAGGCATGGAGATATGAGAACACAATGCTGTGTGGAACCTACAAGTAGGGGAATGGTTGAAGCATTAGGTATATTTCTTGTATTGCTTTTTAAAAATAGACCTAAAATATGCATATATTAGAATTGTGATATCGGAAACTTTTCAGAGGCTGAAAGCTGGTCACATGTATTATCTAAAATAGCCCATGAAGAGACTAAAGACTGAATCCTGGGAATTGGATTCTTCAGAACTGCTGTTTTCTTGCCCAACTAATTGAGGCTTTTTCTTGTCTCTCTGTAGGTTATCCCACAGCCTACCCGGCAGCGGCCCCTGCCTACAACCCCAGCCTGTACCCCACCAATAGCCCCAGTTATGCTCCAGGTAAGGAGTAAGTGGGGGCAGCAATGGTGAATGGGATGGGAGGTGGAGCTCTATTTGGAAAAACAAACTCACCTACTAGCCTTTTCCTGTCCTTAATTTCTGTGGGCTCAGCCTTTCCAGGCTTGATTCTCCTGGGAGTCCCCTCTAGGAACTAGAGCAGATCTGCCTCAGGGTGGGGGTGGGAGTAGAATCTCCTCCATTATCCTTGGGACTTAACGTTGGCCCATCTCTCCTATGCTGGAATGTTTAAGACATGTATTCTCCTCACAGAACCTTTTCTGCTCTCCCAAGCAATGTCCAAATCCATTCTTTGTGGAGTTTTCCCTGAGGCTGCACACACACACACACACACACACACACTGACAGACAGACTCCTGGGGTGTGGATTTGGAAGAGAGTGAGAGACTTGCCACCAGAGGGTAAAGACCTGGTTTTCAAGCTGAGATTACCTACTTGTTTTTCAAAATATTAAAGTCCCAACACTTTCTGGATAGAGGTTGAAATGTGTTTGAAAATGTTGAAAAGGTTTGTTCTATTTTGGGCCAGGAGCATTGCAGATGACCTTAACCCTCATGCTCAGCCGGTGCTTTAACACTCAAGAGCACAAAGAAAGAGTATAGGCTGTGTGGTCAGGAAGTCCTGGGTTTGAATCCTGATTAACTAACTCACTAGTTGTAAGGCCTTGGGCAAGTCACCTCAGCTCACTGAGTTTCAGATGTGACTACCTACCTCAGGGTTGTGGATGGTTTTATGTAAATTCCTCTTTATTTACTCAACAAGTATTTATTTGTTGAATGTTCTCCATATTAGGATAGAAAAATTAAAAGATGCCATCTTTACCTGAAGTAGCTTATAGTCCATTTGGGAGCCTGCATATAAACAAATCCATTGTAGCACAGTGTGATAAATGTTGTAATAAGAACAAATATAAGAAGAGAGGAGGGAATAACAGTGCGTGTGGGGATGAAAGTGTAGGGGAGGCTTCACAGAGGAGGTAGCAGTAGAGACTTGAGGGAGAAGTAGGAGGTGTTCTTTTAAGCACACAAAAGAAGAGTAGGCTTTCTAGGCAGAGCAGAGCCTGGGCAGAGGCATGGAGATATGAGAACACAATGCTGTGAGGAACCTACAAGTAGGGGAATGGTTGAAGCATAGACTGTGGGCAGCTAGATGAATCTGCAATAGCCAGATTTGGAAAGGCCTTCATTGTCATGATAATATCCCCATTTTCTTGCTTAGCAATTGTTACTGTGTTAGTAGAATTAGCTTCAAAAGACCCCAGAGATTCTCCATTTCCTTCTCTTCTCTTGACAAGGGAGATCCAGAGAGAAGCATGTTTTCTCCCAAGTTACCTAGTAAATCAGCAATAGCATATGGACTAGAACCCTTGGCAGATCTCCTCTCAGTCCAATGCTCTTGTGTGCCGTTCCCTTTCTTCTGGGACATTTAAAGGAGAAAAGAACAGGGGCTATGTCTGAAGACCTAGATTTGAGTGCTGACTCTGTCACTTCCTATATTAGCAACCTTAAAGTCACCTGACCTCTCTGAACCTCAATTGCCCCATCTCTATGGTAGGAATCATATCATAATCATATCACACACACCACACACACACACACACACACACACACACGCACCCCATGAAGTTATCAGACAGCCCCTCTTTTTTTGGCAAACAAAAAGTATTTTATGCAAATAAGTGATGTTAACCCTTAAAGTGCTTACATAGATATGTCATTCCACAGAGATTTAGTTTGGTCCTGTTGTGCCTGAGACACTCTGGAAGACAATGCAGGTTATTCAAATTTGAGGAAGCTGTAATAGCTGCCCTCGGAGATCTTATGAGGAGAGCAGTGACACCTGGGCTAAAAATCTATAATGGTATCTCAGCATTAATTTTATATTCACTTTTAGTCAATAAGACATATAATATTTCCCCAAAAATCTATAATAGGAGGCAGAAACAATAAAAGCTACAGAAATTCTCTCTAGTAAAATACTTAATCAAATTTGATAAATTCTATTTTAAAAACTATGACTTTAATTATCACATATCTAATATATAAATGATTTAAATCCAAGTGCTATGAGATCTGGGAATCGGCTTTATAATAAACTGTCTAGTTTAAAACAAAATGAGGTGAGTTGCTGCAGAAGGTCGGGTAAGATCAGGAGAGAAGATTCATTGTCTTTACAGTTGGGAGGCCATCAGTGACCTCATTGGAAGCAGTGTCAATGAGGCGGGAGGCTAGAAACCAGAGTGCAGTGAATCTGGGTAAAGAAGCAGATCTAGCAGATAAAGCCTACTCTTACTAGAAGTTTGGCTACCAGGGAAAGAAAAACCGAAAAGACATTGACTAGAAGGGAAAGTGGGGTTGAAGGAAGGGTTTTTTTGAGTATGAACATGATCAAATAAATAAGTACTGATGGGAAGGAGCAAGTGGAAAGGACAAGTCGGAGATGCAAGAGAAGCAGTGCCAGACAGAGCTAGGCCCTTGCAGAGGCTGCTGTGGGAGTGGGAAATCCAGAGCTCTGTTCTCTCCTTTGTTTTGAGGAGTTGAGTGGCAGGTGAAGGTGGGTACCTCTCACAGGAGGGCAGCTCTGTACAGGAAAGATCACGGGTAGATGTGCTTAGATTAAATTGCCCAGTGGGAAGTGGAGAGTTCTTGTGTAATGACCTTGATTTGCTGAGACAGAGGGGAGCTAGGGATAGACAAAGAGTTCTTAAGGAGAGAGGTTTGGGTGTGAGCGCCTCACAGGAAGGAGTGGGAGCTGAGGACTTCCAAAATATAACACAGCAGGCCTGGCTGAATGGTGGAGGCCGTGAATTTTTCCAGACTCCCATCCCCAGCACTGGGTTATTTTCTCATAATGTTCACTTCTGGTGACTGATTGTGGGATTGTTTTAAGATCAGTTTCAGAAGAAAGTGGAAGGACAGGGAATAAATAACCACTATTTATCAAATGGTTCCTATGTGCCAGGAACTAGTTTAAGTTCTTTATGGATATTAACTTGTTTTATATCACAACAAACCTTTGAGGTCAGTACTGTTGTTATTCCCATTTTCCAAATGGGATAACTAAAATTTAGAGAAGTTAGGTAACTAGCCCAAAGATCCAAGCCCTGGCATCCTGCCACCAAATCCACATAAGCTCTGAACTACTACATTGTTGTTGAGGGCAGTGGGCCTGAGAGAAATTGAAGTGTTAGGGGCTAGGTGCAGTGGCTCACATCTGTAATCCTAGCACTTTGGGAGGCTGAGATGGGAGGATTGCTTGAGGCCAGAAGTTCAAGACCAACGTGGGAAACATAGTGAGACACTATCTCTACAAAAAATAAAATTAGCTGGGTATGGCAGCACATACCTGTAGTCCCAGCTACTCAGGAGGCTGAGGTAGGAGCCCAGAAGTTCTAAGTTGCACTGAGCTATGATGACACCACTGCACTTTTAGGCAGGGCAACTGAGTGAGATCCTGTCTCATGGGAAAAAAAGAAAGAAATTGAAGTGTTAGACTAGAGCAACCAGGCCAGAGAGTGCAGATAGGAGGTGCCTGAAACTGAAACAAATTAAGTTTGGGAAATCTCCTGGCATGTGTAGAGTATTAAGTTTTAATTTTAAAACAAAAAAAAAAGCCCTCATCTAACCTGATTTTTCCCAATTTTGTGTTTTTAAAAGTCACCATCTTTCCAAGCTATGACTAAAGTCACTGAGACCATTTTCTCAGAAATCCACAAAATCTACAAGAGAGGGCAGCATTAACCCATTGTGTTAGAAAGCCCCAAACTGGGACTTGGAAGACCTGGATTATAGCACTAACTCTGTTTCTAATTTTGGTGTGACCTTGGGAAGATCCCTTTCTCTTTTGAGTTACACACGCGTGTGCGGGCACGCACACACACACACACACACACACAACTGGGTCTGTTTCATATTTTGGAATGCTCATCTCTGCATTTACAATGCAGATTTCCTGACTGCAGTGGAGGACTTCCTGCCCTGGAAAGCTGGCTCAAGGTCAGAGAGGACAGTGCAGGTTACTGTCTGCTTTTTGCCAGAGCCAGGCATTTGTGATGCATAGAGGTGTCTGCAAAGGAGTCAGGCTCTCAGGTTTAAATTTCTTTCAGCTGCTTCAAGGAGATCAAGGAGTTGTTTCAGAGAGAGCTATTTTTAGCAGCTATGAGTACCTACCCTAAGATGTCACCTGTCCAGGATGCAGGGAAATGGTTCACTCTTTCATTGGTTCTGAAAGTAGTGTGGGTATGATACTTGGAGCTTTTTTCCAAGCTTGTAATGATTTAAAGGATGTTATGTAAAAATAATTGGGCCTCACAGGAATCAGGGGCCAGCCAAGACTTGGTTTTTAGAACCTGTAAAGTAAAGTACAAATATATCATTTCTAGTTTATACATAACAAACCTGGGGAAGGGCAGGAGAAAGGAATGTGTGCTTTCTGAACACCTCTATTCCAGGCCCTGCCCAAGGCATGTTACAAACATTTGTTTTGTTTTTTTAATTTCTCTACTTTTGAAGGAATACATATTCATTTTTACTTTAGTCTTGTGAGTTCAAGCTTCTTGCCTCCAGTTTGCTCAGAGAGGTAAAATAAGTTATCCAAAGTTATACAGCTAAAAAACAGTAGAGGTGGGATTCAAACCCAACTTGTCTGACCCCACAACCTATGCTCCTTCTATAGCACCGCACTGTCCCAGACGCTCCAGGGATGGAGTGCCTGTGCATTTGGTCCTTGCTCTCTGGGCATTTACAGACAGCTCTTTAGAGGCCAAAGATAGTGAGGTTATCCCTGAGCCTTCACTTCCTCTAACACATAAAGTCTTTGTCACGTGTGAAATCCTTCTGAAGTTCTTCGGAGAACTGAAATGTATTCTGAATATCAGGGACAAGCAAAGAGCAAGAGCTTAGGCTTGTTCACTTCCAGCTTCTGGGTCAGCTGCTTGGAAGACACCATGGCATCCAGGGAGGTGCCCCTCGACAATGAATGGACTTTCCTGGATGGCAAGTCTGTCACCCTCTGCAGGGTAGAGACACTTCATACCTTCTGCATTCACTGTTTCTTATGTAGCATGTAGCCCAGGGGAGAATCTGTTTATGTAACTGCAGTGTGTACACTTTTGCACAAATTCTTAGTGGTAATTTCAACTAACATTTCTATCCAACAGAGTTTCAGTTCCTGCATTCAGCTTATGGTAGGAGAGCTATTTTTTCTCATCTGTATTACAGCCTATGAATGTATCTTGTAACAATGGTAGATCCCTTCTCCTTTCCTCCCCAAATCTCATCCCCTAGGCTTGGGCTCCCCCCAGGTGGCTCAGCAGCGGTTCCTAAAGCATGCAGGAACATGTCTGATGGTGCAAAATCATGGGTTGGAGACACACATGAACCATCCCCTAGGGCAGCAATGAAGGATCATGGCACTAAAAGGCGTCTCTCACCCTAACCTGGCTGCAGAATTCAAACAAACAAATAAACAAAAATTCTAAGGCCTGTATGTGGCTCCTCTGTTGCCTTTGTGGTAGCCTCTGTGAAGGAGTACCTGAATTATGCCTATTAGAACCCAAAAAACTAGTCTGCCCCAGGATCAGGTTTTCCATCTCCATCAGCAGTCTGACATGTTTGAAGACCTGGTTGACTTTAGGTACAATCTGTTCCCTTAGCCCAGATCTTGAGCTCTGGGCTCATTTTGGGGGCATTTTCCTAGATGGTGAGAGGTGGGGGCCAAGTGTACTAATAAGTGAGGGGCCAGAGCTGGGTTCTCTGGGCAGTGTGGACTCCAGGCCCAAGGCACCACGAGAACTTCTGGGCACCTGTGAGGGTCCCAGCAGTGTAACTTGATTAGGTCCTTTTTGTCATAGACAGGAAGGGACCATGAAAGGACTTGCCACTTTTACCACACTCACCTGGGCTGCTCAGGACAATGTTTTTTGAAAATCTCTGCACACTTTCTCAACTTTTAATCTTGAATTATTTGGATGCTAGAAATTGAATTGGTGTGTGATGCATCTTTCAGGAGATGAGCTGTGAAATTTCTCCTTGCCACTGCTGTGGGCTGTGTGATCTTGGGCAATTTGCTATTGTCTACAGGCCATAGATAGAATGTTTTATTCCACATGATTTCTGAGGTCCCTTTAAATGCTAACACACTGTCCTCTTATGATTTTATTATTTTAATTTTACTAGTCACAAACCTGTTTCTCAATCATTTGGGGGAGGAGTCATTTGGCATTTGCCTCAGGATATATGAACAGAAGACTTCATAGAAAGTTACAGAAGCTGACCAGGTGTGGTAGCTCACATCTATAATCCCAGCACTTTGGGAGGCCAAGACAGGAGGATCACTTGTGCCCAGGAATTTGAGACCAGCCTGAGCAACATAGTGAGACCCCCATCTCTACAAAAACTGTTTTAAAAAATTAGCTGGGCACAATGGCACAGGCCTGTAGTCCTAGCTACTTGGGAGGCTGAGGAGTGAGGATCAGCCCAGGAGTTCGAGGCTCAAGTGATCAGTGAGCACTGATTATGCCACTGTGCTCCAGCCTTGGTGTCAGAGTGAAACCCTATCTCAAAAAGAAAAAAAAAAGAGAGAAGCTTTCGTGCTTCCTCACCCTTCCATATCCTGAAATGGGTATGCGTAAAGAGTATGGATGGTGCTCTTCACAAAATATTCTGCACCAAGCCCTAAGCTGGCCCTTTGAAGATGAAAAGACCAGTCAGACAAGGTCCTTGTTCCAAGGAGCTCACAGTTTAGTGGGGAGACAGACAGGACATCAAGTACAGGGGCTTCTAAGAATCACAGGGACTGGGCTATCAACTATATAGGAGGCATGAAGAGGTCGTGGTTAAGGGGTGGGGAGAAGAGAAGCCTTCATAGTAGAGGAAAGTCTTCTCATGATTGATGGATTAATAAATGTTTACTAGGTGGAGTTTGGTGAGAGACACACCAGAAGAGGTAGCACTGTGGACAAAAACACAGAGATGTGAAGTTCCTTGGCATATTCTGGGAATGATAAGCAGTCTCTGTGGCTGTAGTGTGGGTTGGAGAGTGAGAGCAATCAGAGAGTCTGTAGAGAGATCATTAGGACTAGATGATGGGGACATTGAATGCTACACAGGAGCTCAAACTATAACCTGTGGCAGTGGAGAGCCATGGAATGTTTTTAAGAAAGAGGGTTTTGTGATTAAGTTTAGGTCTTAGAAATATCAGTCTGACTGCAGCTTGGAGATTGGAGGGGGCAGGTTTAAAAACAACAGTGAGGAAGCAGTTGCAATAGTTCAGGTGAGAGATTAAATTAGAGCTGTCCTCAACTGTGGAGTTGGAATGAGTGGCTAGATACCATAACTAGAAGATACAAGGCTAGGCTGGCGCGGTGGCTCATGCCTTAATCCTTGCACTCTGGGAAGCTGAGGTGGGCGGGATTGCTCGAGGTCAGGAGTTCGAAACCAGCCTGAACAAGAGCGAGACCCCGTCTCTACTATAAATAGAAAGAAATTAATTGGCCAACTAATATATACAGAAAAAATTAGCTGGGCATGGTGGCACATGCCTGTAGTCCCAGCTACTTGGGAGGCTGAGGCAGCAGGATTGCTTGAGCCCAGGAGTTTGAGGTTGCTGTGAGCTAGGCTGAGGCCATGGCATTCACTCAAGCTTGGGCAACAAAGCAAGACTCTGTCTCAAAAAAAAGAAAAAAAGATACAAGACTAGATGACACTTTATTTTTGACCCTCACATCAATATTATGAAGCAATCAGGGAGTGATTATTAGTGCCATTTTATGAGACAATAAAACTAAGCTTAGAAAGGTTAAGTGACTTGCCCAAGGTCCCACAGCTAATAAGTGGCAGAGCCCAGGCTAGAACTCAGATGTCCTGACTCAGTACATTGTTCAGGATGATGGTCCCTTGCTGCCTCTCCTTCTTGTAAATGTGCTTAACAGATTGTTCAAGTGTCAGAGGGCGTGAGGGCCCCGTATCTGGGGAAGTGAACAACCCAGCACCTGGATGTGGGCAGCATGCTGTGACTGGGCCATGGCCCTTCACTGCCAAGGGTTCTCTCTTTCTCTGGTTTTTTGTTTTTTATAAGTTGAGGGATAACATACACAGTAAAGTATACTAGTCTTGAATGTACAGACTTAATGTTTTTACACATGTATATTCCTATATTTAACTACCACCCAGTTCAAAATATAAAACATTTCTAGGAAGTGGTACCTTTCAGGCACCCAAGAGCAAGTATGCCTGTCAGAGCAGCCTCATCTATCACCATGGCTCTACAAGTTTCAGCTGGGACTGTCCTAGTCCCACAACTGAGCTCTGAATCACTACCACCAAGGATGGGTTACTTTAGGATTGTACATAGAGAAGCTGGATCATATAGTACAACTAACTAATGGGAAGGTCAAGTTGCCAGCTAATATTTGTTTTTTGTTTTTCGTTTTCACATTTATTCAGTTGTTTAAATTATTAAGTATTCAAATATAGTACAGAAAATACTAATTTTCTTTTATAATGAAACCAGAAGAAAGTACTCTTTTGTTCAGAAAAACATAGAGTGTAGTTCACATGATCAGTTGGAAAAGACATAATCAAAGGCACAGCCGCACTTGCTTCTTTCCTGGTTAATCTGGAACATTATTTTACTGTGTATCATGCTGTCTTGTTCACTCCCTGGTTGGCGTGTGGCTGTGTTGCATCCCCAGCTAGACCATAAGTACCTTGTGTGCGGTGACCGTGACCTTATGTGTGTTCCCGTCCACCGCGGCGCTACCCTCAGTGCTGAGTGCAGTGTAGGCCTCAGCACTCTTTAGTTAATTTTGATTTATTTACTCTGTCACATAGTCCTTCCGGCTAATGTCAGACTTGTGGCTTATGATAAAAATTATGGTAAAGGATGTACTACTACTTGGGAGGAAATACTGGAATGGAAGAGAACCTCCAAATTCTCCAAATTCCTACAGCCAAATTCAGGGCTCCTGCCTGATGCAGTTCTTCTGGGGTCTTGAGGGCATGGGCTTGCTCTATATCACTTTTCAGAGCTACGTGTTTTACTTTTTAGAGAGTTGTTTTGGGTGACCACGGCTTTGCAGTCATGTGGAGTGGCAGCTTCTAAATTTGGAGACATCTTGATAAGATTTTTCAACACTAATTGGATTCTTTATCTCCTTCCTATCACCACCCTCAAAGAAACCCAAGACAATTGCTTAAAATGGATTCCTCTCCTCCTGCGTTGTTTGCAGAACCATGTCTTGATGTCTAGCAAAGGCCCTGGACTCTACGTAGAGTTCTGCTGGGTCTCCATTTCGCTTGCCAGAATTCTCCTTTTAGTGTCACTTTCCTGACCATGATTTCCTTCTCATTTCTCAGCATCTGCTGTATATATTGCGGGCCATTAATGCAAGTACAGAGTCAGCCTACAGCAGCCACACTTCTAGCCTTGGTTCAGCAAAAACAGGAGAGTCTCTGACCTTCTCTGGCCCTGGTACTTCTGTGATTGAAGGAACCAGAGGCACTACCTGTTACCCAGGTGGGCAGAGAGGGTTACGATATCTCTCTGGGAATAGAATATACTTGTCCTGATGGAATTAGAGTGTATGTAGGAATATTTTCTTCACATACCACCCTGCCTTACCTTAGCCCCTTGTTAAATGTTTCAAGTATATCTGTTGCCAATGCAGCCCCACTTCCTGCTAATATACTTTAAAACATCTCATATCCATGACTCCCAATACTTTATTTGAGTGAAAAACAAAAATTGCTAAAATCATTCTTTTTTCCATAAGTAGAAATTTGGATCAAGAATGTTTCTCCTGGCTGGAGAAACATTGACCCAAACATTTCGGGTCAAGAATGTTTCATGGTGGCTCATGCCTGTAATCCCAGTAATTTGGGAGACCAAAGCAGGAGGGTCACTTGAGGCTAGGAGTTTGAGACCAGCCTGAGTAACATTAGCAAGACCCTGTCTCTACAAAAAATACAAAAATTAGCCAGACGTGGTGGTATATACCTGTAGTCCCAGCTACTTGAAGGCTAAGGCAGAAATATCGGTTGAGCCTGGAGTTTGAAGTTGTAGTGAGTTATGATGACGTCACTGCACTCTAGCACGGGCAATAGAGCAAGACACTGTCTCAAAGAAAAAAGAATGTTTCTCCTCTAATGTTTGAAATTATAATAAGGGAAATATCTAAAAAGTTAGGTATTTCCCCCCTTTGGAACCTTATTTCCTCTCTTTTTCCCCTCAGGATACCATGAAGGTAAGTTTTTAATCACTCCCCACTTTAGAACACATGAGTTATCATCCTTCAGATTTCTCAAGCTGAGCTCTGAGTCAGCCTGGGAAGTCTCTGCAGATCTCAAACTGGGCCTCATCTCTATTTCATACCTGCCCCAGTTGACATTTACTTTCTAAATGGCCCAACGGATCATCTCTAATTCATTAGGAGCTATCTCAGGTGGGTCACCCCGTAACACCTCAGCAGGAGATATTCAAGGGTGTGCAAGAGGTATGTGTATCTGGCCCCAGCTGAGTGTACAGGAAGAGTTAGCAAGGAGTGCCCCACTGGGTTAGTAGGTTTAGTAAAGCCACACTGCCCAGTGCCTTTTAAGTTACCATGGCCAGGCCGGGCGCAGTGGCTCACGCATGTAATTCTAGCACTCTGGGAGGCCGGGGCAGGTGGATTGCTCAAGGTCAGGAGTTCAAAACCAGCCTGAGCAAGAGCGAGACCCTGTCTGTCCTAAACAAATAGAAAAGAAATTAATTGGCCAGCTAAAATTATATAGAAAAAATTAGCTGGGCATGGTGGTGCGTGCCTATAGTCCCAGCTACTTGGAGGCTGAGGCAGGAGGATCGCTTGAGCCCAGGAGTTTGAGGTTGCTGTGAGCTAGGTTGATGCCATGGCACTCTAGCCCAGGCAACAGAGTGAGACTCTGTCTCAAAAAAAAAAAAAAAAAAAAAAAAAGTTATCATGACCATAGTTTAGTCCCCTTAGAAGGCAGTCCAGCAAGATTCAGGTAATGTGGTAATTATTTGTGTGTTGTTCTTTCTGAAAGCAGCTTGTTAAATACACAGATGTATTAAATCTCCAGATGCAATTCCAGACAATAAAGAATGCTTCGTTGATCTGGCCCACTATATAGTCAAAGGCTCCCAGGTTGCCACATGTTAATGAGAAAGTGGCTGAGGAATATACCAGAGCCTTGGGCCACAATGTCAGTAGTAGGTGGCAGTATTCATGGGTATCTTTGTGGTTTTAGTAATGGGTAGAAAATCCTGACTCTCTTCGTATAAGTTCAGATTTCCTTGATTTCAAATCACTTAGAAGCACACATTACCACTCCTTCCAACCCACTCACCCATCTCAGAAAAGCTAAACCATTCTGTGTGTCTGAACAGGCCCCTTGGGTTATATGTTTCCGTCCAGCACAAGACCCTTGCCTTGTATCTGTGATTGGTGGTGCCCACTTCTTGTTTCTGCCTAATTCCATTCTTGTGTCTTCCCTTAAGCAACTCTGCTGATGAAACAGGCCTGGCCACAGAACTCGTCTTCCTGTGGCACTGAAGGCACCTTCCACCTCCCAGTGGACACCGGGACCGAGAACCGAACTTACCAAGCATCCTCTGCGGCTTTCAGTAAATACAGCCTGTCTCCTCCTTTCCTTGTTCCCCTTGGTTGGGACTGATTTGTTTCTTAGGAAAAAGGAAAGGGAACTTTTGAAAATGACATTTATAATGTAAACACTGTTTTAAGAGGTTTTCCTGCCTACGCAAAAAATTGGCCCTCCTTACTGAGTAAAGGTCATCCTTTCTGATCATGCACCCAGCTTTCAGGGGACACAAAGTATTGAGGGAGGGAGAAAGAAGTATTCTCCTGATCAGCAAGTTTGATTAAGTAAAGACTACATTTGGGGGAGAGGACAGAGGGTACATTTTGAAGGCCTGTGGGTCTTTGGAAAGAGAAGGCTCCTCCCCTAGCACAGGGTTTCTTAACCTCAGCACTGTTGACATCTGGGCCAGATAATTCTTTGTTGTGGGGAGCTATCCTATGCATTGTAGGATGTTTAATAGTATCCTTGGCCTCTACTAGATACGAGTAGCACATTCTCATTGTGACAACCTAGTGTCTCTAAGCATTGTTGAATGTCCCCTGGGGGACAAATTTGCCCCCTGCCTGAGAAACACTGCCTAGTGGAAGCTACACTGTGGGACCAAGGTACGTATGAAGAGTCCTCAGAGAGGCTAGAAGCCAGCTGGTCACATTCATCTTGAGGTTCAGTGGGGTAACTGATGCTATCACTTTCACATCTGATTTTTAATACAAAATGGTTCCACTGGGAAGTGAGGACCAATGTTTAGAAATTACTGAGTGGCATTTTGACTCTGTATAAGACCTTTGTGCCTTGTCAGAGCTATCCAGTAGAGGAATGACTGACTTTGGATGTGGTGAGTGCTAATCTCTTAGGTTGTGCCAGCAGGGGCTGGACAGCCCTCAGATAGATGTTCCAGATGAGGCCTGATAGTCTGTGGTTTCGTGAGTTATTAATCTAAGTAAGTAGATTAGAAGAATTCATTGTATTTTTTTTCCTTTTCCTTAAGATATCCATTGTCATTTTCTCCTAAGTTTTCACTGCCTCAAGATGTCAACATTGGCTTAATGTTTATACAATATAACTGACCTTTTGGAGAATTTGCTTTCATGATCACCCTCTCATTTAATCTATACTACTCTCCTATTCAGTTATTTGGGTGGATTTTCATCCCAGTTTGAAAGATGAGACTCAGGAAGGTAATATGCCTAATGCCACCCAACCAGTGAGCAGAAAACTAGAAAAAGATATCACTAAGGTTAGGATTCTATTACTGACTTTTTTTATAAGATTGATTTTACTCTTTTAAGAGAGGAATGTCAGCCATAAGGAGTTTTTACAGATACCTGAAGTAGAATTGAATGAACATATGTAAGATTATATATATAAATGGGCATATACATATTCTCTCTTATATCTGCTCTTATGGGTGTAGATACATATAGACACACCTGCTATGTCTGCTACACACTGTAGCAGAAAGAGGCCTGGAGGGAAACCCAAAGAGTTGGATTGTAGATTTGGTTCTATGTAACCTTGGATAATTCATGTCCATGCTTTGGATCTTGGTTTTTTCAACTGTAAAAAAAGGGAACTAGTTCATCTTTAGGTTCTCTGTAGCTGTTAGACGACTCATTCTCTCACCTTGGTGACATGAACTCAACATCCTGCACCCTAACAGAGATCTCCTTTCTAGTTGCTGTTACCAGTAGCTGTCGAACGAGCCTTTGCCCATCTGCAAGGATAGGATACTCATTGTCTCTAGAGGCAATCCTTTCTGCAGTTAGAAAGCTTTACCTTTTACTATGTTGAAATCTTCCTGAAGGCCCATTAAATGTGCAGTAGCCGTATCCTATTGTCCCCTCTCAGACAGGCTGTCATAGTCCCTGGAAAGGACCAAAATGTACCCCTCTCTTTTAATTAAGTATTGTATAGATCTGTGGAATTTTTTTAATTGAGTTGGGATTGACTGGCCAGCCACACCCACAAGGTCCCTCTCAGCATTCAGATTTGTGGCTTCTAGTGCTACAGAAAATTCAAGGCACTTTGATAATTTCAGTTCAATTTCACCAGCACTTGTTAAGCTTGTTTGTAATTAGGTCTTTCTCCTACTTATTCATCATTCTCTTGTTCAGCTACCAACAAGGAGACTTAGGGGTCAAGGCAAGATTCAGACATAGAGCTTTGCTTTGTCCAGACATATAAATCTGATGATCAATAAACCGATTAGTCTAAAAGGCATCTGTGATGTGAGATCAATGCCTTTGGAGGTGGTAGGGGCTTTACAACTAAAAAAGATTTATAACAGCGAAGAAGGATTGAAGAGGAGGCTGAAAAGGTTTTATCTTGCTAATGTACATACTCTCTTTATTATCCTGTTCGATGCAGCCTAAAATTATGGTTAGGAACCTGAGAGAAATAACAGGACGTCATAAACAAAGCCTCTTTTATAAGGCAGAGCTGGGGCTTCTAGTGATTAAATTCCTTTTTTCTCTCATGATACTGCCTTTAGTGAAATAGGGACACAAAGGCCAGTATATCAAATGCCCAAGATTGGACTTCAGAGACCTTTAACTCAGCAAGAGCTCTGTCCAGGACATGGTGAGCCCTGAATTCTGGGCTCAGCTCTGCACTGATGTGCTATGCAATTTTGGGAAATTGCTGGTCTGGGCTCCAGGTTTTTCCTCTGAAAGGAAGAAGGTTGAATGTAAGCCTTTACTATCCTTAAGGCATAACATTTCATAGTCCTAATTCTGTGACCTTCAGACTTAGAATTCCTTTCAGCATAGCTAGGCCTCCAGCAAGTGAATTGAGTCTAAGTTCATTTGGGTAAAATCCATGAGATTTTTGCAACAAGCTTAACAACTTTTTTATTTAGATGCATAAAGTAATAAACTTTGATTTTTGTGTTACCCAAGATAGCCCAGGCTATATGGCTCCAGGGGAATTTTCAGTGTTCCTTAAGAGTATCGACAGGATCACCAGTCAGTTGTGCAAAGTTCTCTATAGTGATTTTCTCATAAAAGTCTTTTGAAATACTCAGAGACTTGAAATGTCAACACTAGAATGGCCCTCTGATTATCCAGTCCAAATGAGGATATTCCCTGAGAGAGGATTGCCATGAGTCACTGACAGCGCCCAGGATGAGGGTCCTGGGGCAGCTTTTGCAGCTTCATGTAAGATCCTCCTGACATAGATGGTAACCTTGAGGGCCACTGTGGCTAGAGGAAGCAGCACTGAGTCGTAGGTCCCCACAAGCAGCCTTTCTTTCAGCATCTATTGGTTATCTCATCTGTGAAATGTTTACATTGGTCTTAATGATCTCTAGATCTCTCCTAGCTCTGCAGTTCTGCCTCTCCCGCCTCACACTGTCTGGACAGAAGAGCAAGGCCGCCTTCTGCAGTAGCATCTCTTTGGCTGCCAAGGGTGTTTTGGCTACTGATTTGTATTCTGAGTATGTGTGTGTGTCTCATTTCATAAAATGAAAAAAGGGAAACATTCTCAGACAAGGTTATTCTTAGATATGGAAACCAAATTCTATTGCAGTTTCTTGGAGCCTTTTTGATTTTCCTCAGAGGGATAGTCTCAACACTTTGTAAATGGTTGTCCTTGTGGCAGAGAGGGGGTAGTGCAGTTTCCCTGGGGAAGATAAAAATTCCAGAGCACGTTCTCTAGGAGCATAAAGGAAAGTCGTCAGCGTCATTGGCTTGTTAATTTTAAAGAATCATAAAATCATGGCATTTTAAGCCATAAAATTTTAGCATCTTAGAAGCCTAGAGTCTAAAAATCCTGTATTCTAAGTTGGAACAGACTATAACGAGTCATAGTTTTTAACTTTCTATCTCTTATAGTCTTTTAGACCAGTCACTGCTTACATACTCCCAGGACAGGAAGCTTACCATCTTTCTATACAGTGAGAGAGAGAAAATAATAATAGCTAATTTTATAAAGTACTTATGTCAGACACTGTTCTAAGTGTTTATTAGTTAATGTATTTATCGCAGGAACCTTATGGAGCAGGTACTCATACTATCCCCATTTTACAGATGAGGAGACTGATATATTCTACAGTTATTAAATAGCAGAGGTGGGGTTGGACCCAGGCAGTCAGTGTCCAGACTGCTCGTGACCACTGCTCTGTGCTGTAGCACTTTCAGGGACAGGCGTCTTCTGATTCAGCAGTGTCCTGCTCTCCTGCGTAGAAAAGAGTTGCTCCCTACTCTGGCAGGACTCTCTACACGTTGTTTTATTCTTTTACATCAGAGGTTGGCAAATTTTCCTGCAAAGGGCCAGATGATAAATATTATATTTTAGGCTTTTCAGGCTATAATGGTCTCTGTCAAAACTACCATTGTAGCAAGAAAGTAGCCATAGTTAATATGTAAATGAATGAGCATGGCTGTGTTACAATAAAACTTTATTTACCAAAACAAGCTGCAATTACAAAAAGCCATGGCTGAAGTTTGCCTGTCCTAAATGTTAACAGTATGAATAAAAGATTCTGTGATAAAATTAATTTGGGAAATAGTCTCCTACATATCCCTATCTTAGAGATTTGTAGTTTACCCTATCATTTAAAAAACTTCTCAGGGTCAGTGTTACAGCTCTTTTGGAATTTGTCTAGCAAATTCCAAATTCACTGGAAAACTCCCTTAAAACTCCCCCAACTTCCAGTGTCATGGTATAAAAAAAAAATCAAGCCTATTTCTATTTTATATTGCTGATTCACAGATATATGAAACTATAGAACTCTTTTCTTATCTTTGGCAAAACAATTATCAATTCCAAGATCCCTTGGAATTGATAGTCAATAGTGTACATTTAGGACATGTCCATCTTTGATTTATCTATAAAACTCCTTTTGTTTTATAGATAAGTAAACTGTGTCTCCAAGGTGAAGTACCCTTCTAGATGTCTACAAGGCTAGACTTCCTGTCTTCCCCTACAGTATCTGCTTCTCATCTCATGATTGGCTCCACAATCTAGAAACTTTGAGAATCTGCTCTAGACGTCTCTCTCAACTGACTCACATCCCCACTTCCAATTAGTTTCTACTTCTTATCAATGTTACCTTAACATGTCCTTTCCACTCCATCCTCATTGCTACTTATTTCCCAAGCATAATTGACCACAAAACTAGTATTTTTCATGGAACAAATTGAGGATCTGCAGGTGGAAATATAAATGACATGATTCCAGGGGAGAGGACAAGACATCTTTTGTGGCAGCCGAACAGCAGCTCTCCTATCCTTCTGAGTCATCAGGAGCAGGGGTGCCAAGCCAGAGCTGTGATGTAGACTGAGAGAGATCTGTGACATGTGGTAGCTCGTTTTTTCTTGGGGTTAGGGTGGTGGAGACCCAGGGTCTTTAGAACCATGAAATTTTAGTTTAGGAAGAGATCTTCATTCTTAGCCTCCTGATTTTACAAAGTGAGAAACTAAGGCCCAGAAACTTGACAGTATCACTGCAAATTAGGGGGAAAGGTAGGACTATAGGCTAAAAAGACTTTCACTTTCTGAATCCCAGGATCTCCTTGTGTAAAGTGAGAGGGTTAGAGTCACTTGATCACTTGTGTTGGTAGAATGATTCCATTTTGTGATTCTGTAAGGAGATAATCTTCCTGAGTGAATCATATTTCAGGTTCTTCCTATGAACATACAAGCTGCCTCTCTTTTCCAGAGGATTCAAAGGGAGTACAGTTTGTTTGCATGGCCAGTTGTGAGCGTGACTTCTCAGCCCCAGCTTTTGTCCATCCTGCTGAGGCAGAGACATGACCTGGGTTCTGGGCTGATGTGAATCTTTGTGATCCCTGACTTTAGGCCTTTTAAGCAGAGGTGGTTCTACCCCAGGCTCCAGCAGGAAGAAAAGCCAGCTCTGTAAAGCAAAAATTTCAGCATCCCAGAAGATGAGGATCTCTGAATGGTGTTTTATATGGGATTTTCACCTTCAAACTCAGGGAAGAAGAAGGGGAATTTGGTGGAGGGAAGTCTAGAAAAGGAGAGGTATATAGGAGAAAAAGAAATAGAGCAAGAGTAGCAAGACAGAGAAAAACAGAAACAGCAGCAAAAGATACCCTAGGATGTTTATGTTTAAGCAGAAAAGCAAGAAGATAGAGAGTAGCCATAAAGAATGAGTGTCAGTCTGGACATCACAGCAAGATCCCATCTCTACAAAAGTTTAAAAATTAGCTGGGTGTGGTAGCACATGTCTATAGTCCCAGCTACTTGGAAGGCTGAGGTGGGAGGATCACTTGAGCCCAGGAGTTCAAGCTGTGATCACTCCACCCTGGGGGACAGAGTGACACCCTGTCTCAAAAAAAAAAAAAAAATGTGAGTTTGTTGTTCATTGAAGGGCATCCATCCATGTGCATCTGTTTGTCTCAACACAGACAGCTCAGAATCCCAGATTTTCAGAGCTGAAAAGGCCCCGTACGAGACTATCTAATTCTAGCCTCTTATTTTATAGATGAGAGCCCTGAGACCCAGATAAATAAAAGATGCCCAGAATTACACATGCAGCCCTGTGCACCAGGACTGAGGGAGATGCCTCAGGGATCAGGGCTATCTGGGTGGAGCCCTGTTTTCTGTCTGTTCTCATCTGTGTTTCTAGCCTGGATTCAGCCCATCCTTGTCTAGGGAGTCGTGACTGGGACCTTCTGCCTTCTAACAATGCTTTTTTGCCAATTAACTGGAAGTCTCTCTTATTGCCTTGACACAGGATATACTGCGGGGACACCATACAAGGTCCCACCGACCCAGAGTAATACTGCTCCGCCCCCATACTCCCCATCACCCAACCCCTATCAGACGGCCATGTATCCCATCAGAAGTGCCTACCCCCAGCAGAATCTGTATGCCCAGGTAGGTACATATGGGCCCATGGCTTCTGCAGGTAGAGGAGCCTCCAGCTGGGATGGGGTGTGGTGGAGTTGGGTGGGGTGGTGTGAGAAAGAGAGGGAAGGAGAGAAGAGAGTTCATGGCTCTGGCCAGCCATCGCTGTGTATCAATGAAACAATATTCCTGCAGTCTGCTCACTCCCTCACTCCACCTCAGTCCCCAGAGGGGTGAGGCACAAAGTCATTTAGATTAACAGAGTCTAGAATGTCAGAGGGACAAGGGCCCTTTAAGATCATCCAGCTTAATCCTTTGTTAAACAAGTGGGGAAGCTGAGGCCCAAGAGGGGAATGACTTGTCCAAGGTCACACAGTGAGCTATTGGTTGAGTCAGGATGAAACCCCATGTGTCTTGGTCCTTTCTCCCTAACCCCCACAGCTACCCTTCCTTGATGAAGTCTATGAGACTAGTGGAGAGGACAAAAGTACCCAGGCTCTCCCACCATTGTATGACCTTGGGCAAGTTATTCTCTCTGTCTGTGCCTTAGTGCCCCCATCTGTGTTCTTCAAGCTGGTACTATGTGCACTCTGAGGTGATTGGTATGAGACAGGGACTGCATGAGGGTCTGGTGTACTCATGGCACATTCTTCTGGAGTGACAACTCTAAATGAGGGTGTAAGTGATGTAGAAGACACTTTTTTAGTTTAAAAAATTGCTGTATTGTAGAGTAGAAGACAAAACTTAAAAAAACAAAATGGAACAAGAGGTTTGAATCAGTTTTTCTCATTTTGCTTTGGACTATGCTCTCAGGCCTCTGGGGTTACAAACCCACATTCTGAGGCTCTTGTTATTTAGTAGAAATATTTGAGGATTTCTGAATTAAGATGATTTTAGGGCCCCTTGTCCACTCCCCCCAGAAGTCAGCAGGCCTGTGGACTGTGGCAGCAGGAAGCAGGATTCAGGCAGTGAGAAGTCATCTCAGACCACTGTCTCCATCCTCACCTTTTTACTTAAAACAAAATAGATAGTAAGAGACACCTTGGGAAAGCTATCCATTCATGACATTTTTTAAATATGTAAAATGCCAGCATTTGCACCAAATGATAATACCACTAATAACCCTTCAGTGCATGTGCACGGTGTCCTGGAGTTCACCAGCTTCATTCACATGCTTAGTAACTAATCCATTGTAGTCCCTACCTTTAAATTTTAGGCAGTTTTGGCTGGGAGCGGTGGCTCACACCTGTAATCCTAGCATTCTGGGAGGCCAAGGTGGGAAGATTGTTTGGGGCCAGGAGTGTGAGACCAGTCTGAGCAACAAGTGAGACCCCCATCTCTACAAAAACTAGAGAAAATCAGCCAGGTGTTATGGAATGCCTGTAGTCCCAGCTACTCAGGAGGCTGAGGCAGGAGGATCACTTGAGCTCAGGAGTTTGAGACCATCCTGAGGAAGAGCGAGACCTTGTCTCTAGTAAAAATAGAAAAATTAGCCAGGCATCATGGTGTGCGCCTGTAGTCCCAGCTACTCAGGAGGCTGAGGCAGGAGGATTGCTTGAGCCTAGGAGTTTGAGGTTGCAGTGAGCTATGATGACGCCACTACACTCTAGCCAGGGTGACAGAGCGAGACTCTATCTCAAAAAAACCAAAAACAAACAAAAAAATTAGGCAGCATATAAAAAGCACATTGCAATAAAATATAAACATTTTAAAATGCTAAAACCAGGATTAAGGGAGTAAAGCTCCTATCCCATTAGATCATCATAGCAGTCTTAGAAGCAAGGCAGGACAGAGTTAGAACCTTATTTTTCAGACCAGAAGCTGAGCCCAGCACTGAACCGACCACAGTCATGTAGGAAGACAGAAGCAGTGCCCCAGCTGGGGCCCACACCTTATGTCCCAGGGCCAGCGCTTCTCTCATCCCATCCCTTAGGGTCTGGGAAGAACAGAGGCTCCCCTTCCCTCTCCTCCTCTCCACATCCCGCCCACCTCTGCAAAAGCCTGTGTGACCTCAGCCTCTTTCCTCCAGGGAGCCTACTACACACAGCCGGTGTACGCTGCCCAGCCCCATGTCATCCACCACACCACGGTCGTCCAGCCCAACAGCATTCCTTCCGCCATCTACCCGGCTCCTGTTGCCGCTCCCAGGACCAATGGCGTGGCCATGGGCATGGTGGCAGGCACCACCATGGCAATGTCAGCAGGTGAGGGCAACATCTGCATCTTTGTCCATCCCTCTTCTCCAGGAACTCATGATGGAGTGGAGGACTCAGCAGCTGGGGCTTTGGGAACCGGGAGGAAGGACCCTCTAAATCTGTCTGCAGGGATGAGGAAGATTTCACCAAGAAGGGCATATTGAGCTGGGCTGTAAAGGGTAGACAGAGGCTAAGCAGAGAAGTGAAAGAGGGAAGGGCAATACAGGCAGGAAGAACTTGAATAAGGCTTGTTCACAGAATGGAAAGGGTCCAAGGCTCTTAGGAAATAGGGATTTGGAGTTAGAAGGGTGGCTGGAGCGCTGGCAAAGATAAGATGGTGAAAAGTCCTGCATGCCTTTTGGTAATGGAGCTCACAAAGGGGGTTAAACAGGGGAGGGATGTGTTTGGGATTCTCTGGCTGCAGGGCGGAGGCAGGACTAGAAGGGGAGAGCTAGAAGCAAGTAGGTCAGCGATGAGCCTGTCAGTGTAGTTTAGGGGAGAGATGATGATGCTAAGACTCCAACAGCAGCAGGGGGCCCCGGAAAAGAGGGCACAGGGGCAATGTTACTTAGCAGGCAGGAGCTTGAGGACCTATCCAATGATTCACTGCAAGGGATGAGAGAAGCAGGAGTCCCTGAGGACCCCTTCCCCATTTCTGGCGTATGCCAAAATTTAGGGAAGAGCAGATTTAAGGACGTCTTTAGGTGAGTTGATACCTACAGAAAAATGTGGGCATTTCAATGAAGAGCATGAGAAGACAAGAGGGCTACAAATAACATGTAAAGACTCAACTTGTAAAGAACCAGCTGGGTCACGCTCTTAGGGAAGAAAGTGCAAGGGGTAGAGTGGCATTTGGATTTTATTCTGCCCCTTATGTGATGGCATTGTTGAGGCCTCTCACTCCCCAGGTTAAATCAGCAAGCTGTTGGATCTCTGCTCTGTGCCAGGCTTGTTGTTCTGGTCCTGGGGACCGGATATCAGTAAATCAGACCAGAAATCTGCCCTTCAGGAACACTCAGGTTAGTGAGGGAAATATACCCACAGACACCAACAGTTACTACTCAGTGTGGTATTTGTGCAATAAGAGAAACGCACAAAGACAAGTAAAAGGAGGCCTCCAAAGAAGAGTGGTTGATCCTATCTTCGAGCACCAGCAGAGGTTCCCCTAAGGGAGTGAAGCCTGGCAAGGTGGAGAAGGGCGGACGGAGGTTCCTCAGGCAGGCGAGGGAGATGGGGCAGCGCAGCGGGAGCAGCCACACGAAAGCCAGTGGCTTCATCCCTGCGCCATGGTACAGCCTTGTCAGGTTTACTCTTGTCTCTCTGGATGCTCAGGTACCCTGCTGACTACACCCCAGCACACCGCAATTGGGGCGCACCCTGTCTCCATGCCAACATACAGGGCCCAAGGAACCCCTGCGTACAGCTACGTGCCCCCGCACTGGTAAAGCCTGCAGCCCATCCAAGTGAGTGGGGCCAGGGTGAGAGAGTGGGGAGGGGGATGCACATAGGAACTGCCCCAAAGCCCCCGTCTGGAGTGCAGGTGTCAGCCGGGGCAGGTGACAGTTTTCAAGTTATCAGTTGCTTTCCTATTCCAGGGTCTGTAATATCATCCTTAATAATAGTTGTCACTTTACATGTTATCTTCATAATCCTTTCCATAGCTCTGTGAACTAAGAATCTCTATTTTACAGATAAATATGTAGTTCAACATTACTTAGTTTGCAAAAACTAAGTGAGTACTGTACTCCAGTCTTCTAGTACTAAATTCTGTACTCTTTACCTTATGGTCTTCAGACTTCTTTTTAACATGAGTCCCATTCTTCAAATGAAATCTCACCTTAATTGTATGTTATGTTAATTTTGGTTGGAGACCTTGGGCTGACCTAGCTGAACATCTTCCTTACTGCTCTCAGCAGCTCCTGAGGCAGTGCCCATGAACTGCAGGGCTCCAGGGATGTCACTTTGAAATCCTCTGCCCTGCTGCCCCATCCAACCTGCCTTCTGCCTCCTGCAGGGAGGGGTTCTTGGCACTAGAGCACAATAACTTCCATGGGTGGGAAGCAGGCAGCTCCACTGGGAATGCACAGAGTGCTCCATTTAGAGCTTCCAGGTTGAGGGAAGGGGTCCAGAAACTTCCTCAAGTGGCCCCTGGAATATCACTGTCACTAATGGCTTTCCCTTCCCCCTCAGATCTGGAGTCACACATTGTATGCAACTACTCAAGTCTTACACCGGTGCTGGAGCAGTTCCCTAGCAGCACCACCTCTATTTGCAAGAAAAGACAACGGAAGTGCAAGGGTCACTTTATGCATCTTTAATGGTTTTGGTTTTTATTTTTTGATTTTTGTAAAAGCTGCTTTTTTTAATCTCCTGCCTCTCCCCCACTGTCCCCCTCTTAGCCGCTGGCCTTTCTAGCTCTAGCTCCTCCTCCTATCTGACCAGGCCATGCCCTCTCTTCTCTTCTTTTCTTCCCTAAGCATCCTGTCCCTAGGGATCCCCATCTAGTGGCACACAGAGAGTGGGGTTTATTGCAATGGTTCAGCTGAAATCTGAGTTTTATATGAAGAACATAAACAGATGTGGCCCTCCGTCTAGGGTAGGAACTCAGAGCTGTTGAGCAGGCCACATCTCTAGGGAATTGTTCTTTTTTTGTTTTTTCTTAAGATTAATTCAGGACATTACCATGTCCTGACACAAAAGAAATGTCTTCTGAGAACCATCACAACAGACCAAGAACAAAACCACCTGATTATGTAGGCATGGTATTAGCAGCTTAATTCCCCAGGCTTAGAACCTGGGGAAACCAGAGTCTGTCTTTGGGAGAATTTGGAGGAGAGGGGAGGGAGGGCACTGTTGGGGAGGAGAGGGAAGGGGAGAAGTGCTTGCCTTGATAGCTTTGGTTTGAAATAAGGTTTCTGGCCAAATTGTCTGGGCCTCGACCTTCTGATTTGCACAGTGATGTTAACTGACCTGGCACTTCCTCAAAGGTGGTTTTGACCTCAGACCTGCCAACCAGCTATAGTGTGGTGGGACCCAGCATCCTGAGGCTTTGGAAGGCCAGGTGCCCTGTGTAATTCAGACCTTGGCCTCCGAACTGTCATGAACCCACTCTGATCAGGAGCTTTCTCCTGATCAGAGTGGGCATCTAGGGCATTTCTCTCCCTTTCCCCTCTGCCCTTCCCAGTGCCAAGGCTCACCCATCTGTAGGGCTGGCAGGCAGGCCAAGCTCTTGGTTACCTTGTGCCACTCATGGCCAAAGTGAAGGAACCACATTCCAGGTGGGTGCTGGCAGCTGTGAAGGTCAGGACAGTGAAGGAAAAGCAATAGCAATAAACATTTCATAGACTCATGGAACTGAAGGGACCTTAGCAATCATCTCATCCATTCCCCTATTTGATAGATGAGGAAACTGAGGCCCAGAGAAGAGGAAAAGAGTTCCCCAGACCTCGCTGTAAATTAGCATTAAATGCAGCCTTCCTACCTAATGGCATGTTGCCTACAAAAATTTACCTAGGGATGGAGTGGCTTGGTTTTGTAAAAATTAAGTCAGCAGCGCTCACACCTGGTGAGCTCTGGAACAGTCTCTGGGCTCTTGTTTCTGTTCTTTTCCTCCATGGACTCCAAAGGCTGGGGTTGAAGACTGGGCAGAGGCCACATGGGGGCAGATGGCAGGAACAGAAATTGCAAATGAAGAAATAGCATTTGGAAATTCTGTGAAGACATCTGGAACTTTCACCCTGTGCCTGACTTCACCTCTAGGAAAAGGAGCAGGTGGGCTGGCCGAAAAGGAGAGGCCATGCTTTTAGGACAGTAGCGCCTCATCCTGAGAGGAGAGGAAGAGGAGGAAGAGAGTGGGAGTCACCAGGAAAGGAGCACGAGGATGAGGCTCAGGAGACATAGGCTCATCTGGGAGAAGAGGGACCCCTGGGACAAGGAGGCCCCTGCTAGTCTCAGCCAGGAGCCTGGATTGCCCTCCTGCACCCAGCACCTGGCTGGGCCAGTAGCCCATCTGGGCATAAGGCAGGAATATTTTACTATACAAAATGGGATCATTGACAACATTTGGGACTTTTAAATAACTATTTTCAGTTTAAATTCATGCAAACTTGGATATACCCTTCCCTCTGCTTCCCATGTCTCCTGAAACAAGGAAAAAAAAAATCAGGAAGCCCTTGGGCTGGAAGGACCTCAGAAGCTCTCTAGCTGCTCCTAGGAGGGCAAAGCTCATCAGCATCCTTGTCCCAGAGCCAGGAGTTTGGCGCCCACCTTCCTGGGCTTCCAGGGAACTTCAGGACCTGTAAAAGAAAATCCTACTGCTCTAAATCGTCTGTTCTGGGGTGCTGATGAGGTTTCGTTCTAAAACCACAAAGTTTTCCAGTGTTAATCCATTTTTGCAAATACCTCCTCCCACCCTCTTTGGTTTTGTAAAGGTGGATGAAGGTTGTTCTAGATCATGTCGTGCGTGTTTGAAAAATGCCAAAATAATAATAATGATAATAATAGGAAACCTTTGCATTTGTCAGGTGCATCATAGATTTCAAAGCACTTCACAGCCTTTAATCTACAGGCCCTGAAGAGACAGGGTCAGAGTTATTACACCCAAGTGACAAATGAGGAAACAGCTTACAGAAGGAAAGGGAACAGTCCACAGTGAGCAGAATGCTGGTATCCTGCCAAGCTTCCCTGAATCCGGCTGTCTCCGGGTGGGCTGGGGTAGAATCACAGAGGAGGAAAGAAAAGGAGGAGACCGAGGAATGACCTTGTAACTTTTGTTCTTTCTACACCATTAAGTAAAACTAACATCTGGACCTCACACTTCATAGAACAGTTTCAAATACATCATCTGTTTTAACCCTGTGAAATAGAGATTATTCCTGCCATTTGATCCATGAGGAAACTGAGGCTCAGAAAAGTGTCTTGCTAATAAGTGACAGCACTACTTTAATTCTAGGCTTTCACCTTTCTCTTTCCCCTCCAGTCTGACCCCACATAGGCTCATGTACGTAAGCATCTGTGCTCTGCACCCTATCTTAGCCCCTGTGTACTTCAAGAGCAAAGGGAGGTCTCAAAGTGAAAAGAAGGCACTGAAGGGCTGTGGTCTGGAAGAGCCCAGGCCCAGCACCCTTTTTCAGCATGAGCACTAGAGCCCCAGTTCAGCTGGCCTCACCCTCTTGCTTTGATGGAGATCCACAAGCCTGGCCAAGCTTGGTGAGTCACTGCAAAGGGACTGAGCCCAGCAGAGCAGGGGCAATCGGGTGTCTTTGGTAGGATGAGCACAGCTTTTGGTAAGGTCACAAGTGCTGGGGGAAGGTCCATAGGTACCATCCAAAGACTCTGGATGTCCCAGTGGCCAAGCTGGACAGAAGATCAGAGCTGGAAGAGCCCTCTCATTGTAGGAAGACAAGTAAGCCAGAGAGGACAAGGGATGTGTCCATGTGACATAGTGAGCTATAGTGCTGGCACCAGCATGCAAACCCCTCTCATTCCTACTGCCTCTCCCCAGATGCAACACCATGGTGGCCAGTGTCAGGGGTACAGATGGTTCCAGTCACCAGCCTGGGACCCAGGAATTTTCAGTCTAGAAGCTGGATTGTCCCCAGATAGTGAAAGCCTGAGATATAATCTTTTGCCACATTAAAAAAAAAAACAAATATATTTAATTTTTTCCCCATGAGACAGAACAGTTGCCGTCCCTTCTCTTTCTTACCTGGCAATGACCCTAAAGTACATGTCCCCTTCCCTGAATATTCATCAGGGACACACACGCCTGTCCAGAAAATTTTTGATATGCAAGGTACTCTGACATGGATTGCCAAAATCTAAATTTTATAGATGGAAAAACTAAGGCTCAGGAGGCTTAAGAGACTTGACAAAGGTCACACAGCTAGTAAGGGAAAGAGCCAAATCTTAACTCTTCAAATCTGCTCTTCCTGCTGCCACCTGCTGGGTCTCTGAGCGGCAAGCATGAAGGGAGGGCTGCCTGTCTGTCCCCAAACAGAAGAAGACTTTATGGAGACCTGGGAATCCCAGTCCTCAGCTGAGCAGATTGTTATGAATTATTGCTTTAGACCGGGCCTGTGATGGGCTGTGGGGACCCAGAGGTAAATCCAGCTGGCAGCACAGGGAGAATGAGAATTTGCAACAAAAGGCTTAACTTGGAAAAAACATTTTGGGATCATGTTGTGCAGGATGCACAGGACATGTTCAAGGACAGCACGAGGCATCTTTCGATTGAAAGACCCATGTCCCTGGGAACCCTCCCCATCCTGGCTTTCTGACCTCTGAGAGTCTGCCCACTGCCCAGATTCAGTGAGTTGGCACTTGAGGGGGATCCAGTGTAGCCCTGAAAAGCCAAAAGCATATGGACTAAAGCCCCTGGATTTGCTTTTCCCATGGGTGAGAAACAGGACCTAGAGAGACTCTGAGCATGTAGGCTCCATGCATACTAATCCTTACCCCAGCCACCCAAATTGTTCCAAATTGGAGGTATCCCACTCCCAGAGATCTGGGTGAAGGACTTGCTTTGTTCTGAATGGCTTTTAGAAATCATATGGAGCATAAAAGTAGGACAGGTCCCTTGGTCACTAAGGTCTAGCATCCTCATTGTGCAGACAGGACTCATCAAGGGTTCTGGTGACGCACTGCGTATCAGATTCCTTGGCCCTGCTCTGGGCCCTGTGGTCTTCATCACAGCACTCTGGCTGGATCAGTCATTTCCGTATCCCCACAGCATTCCTCCTCAGCTACAGTTGAGTGAAGTACGTGGAAGCTCTGCTTTCCCATCCCACTGGTGAGCAGCCCAGCTGCTTGCCAAGTGTGAGAATCGGGCAGGGTGAGTAGCGGACTGGGCAGGTGGGAAGCAGGCTTCCTGTCAGTGTGCAGCCCCCGGGGCCAGACGCCCCACACACAGTGGAGGAACCCTGCCCGGCTAACTGGTCAGATTCCACACCTGAGCCTCTGAATGCTCAGGCTTCCATGGCATGCCAGGCTCGCTGCAGGGTTTGTCCTTAACTTGTCCATGTCCCCCTCTCCTAGAAAACTCCTTGTTTCTGAAATTAGGCATTACATGGTTCCAGGGCCCAGCCTTCAAAATTCCTGGCAGGCCAACTTCAACATTCCATGGCCAACCTTGTCTGAGCCAGACCTGGGTCCCACTCCCTCAGTTTCTCCAGTGGGTATTTTCTGTCTTGTGTTGCATGCTGTTGAGTCCAACTCAGAGGCCAACTGGCTGGCTGCCACAAAGCCAGAAAGGGACCCGACAGCACTTGCTTCCCTGTGGCTGCATCGACAGTCCTGGATATCCTTGCTGTGGCAGTGAGGCCCTGTACTCATTCCAGCCCCTGACAGGTGGGATTTTCCTTCCTGAAGAGAACTGATGTAACAGCTCCGCAGATAAGTACCAGCCCACAGGAATCAAATGAGTGAAATCAGCTTTGGGCCTGACCCCAGCAAGACCAGCATCTCCAGGCTCTAGCCTTCCTCCTCAGGCCTAAGAGAGTCAGGGAAAGGGGGGACTGGCCGAGAAACCTCCTGGGGTCAGCCAGACTGTCTGGATCTATGGTGTAGCTCAAGCTCCTCCTTACCCACTGGTAGGTAAGGCTAGGCCTCTAGCAACTTGGAGTTGTCCGTACTGATCATTACAGGCCCAAGGGCCTGTCCCCATCCTGACTTCAAGGCATCTGCATCCCTGTTTCATATCACATGACAGCGAAACCTGTTCTCATAGCATGTAACATCCCTGTGAAGAGAGCGTTGTATATGATTTTGTATTTTTTAATTCATTTTAATCTACAGGTTGGAATCTAATTTTTAAATTTTATTGGAACTCACATTTTAAAAAGAAATAAACATTTAAAATAATAATAATAATAATAATAAACCTTTGACCGGTGTCTTCCAAGTAGTTTAATCAAAGATTTATAGGTGTTTCCAAAACACAGCCTGGAGTGTAAAGATTGGAAAGCCCCATGGCCTCGCTTGTGTGTATGAAGTGTAAATCTGGTTTTGTTTTGTTGTTCTGGATTCTTTTGGGTTTTTGTTTCGTTTTGTTTTGAAGATCAGATAGTGATCACTCTGAAAGATTGAAGCCAAGAATTTGTAACTATGATATTTACTGTAAGCTGTAGAACATTCAATAACTATTAAAAAAAAAAGTTTCCAAAAAAAAAAAAAAAAAAGTCCAGGTGACCAGACTGAGTGGTTTTTGGGGAAGGGAGCAGAAGACCATGCTCTGGGCCCATGAGTCCCCTGGGCTTCTCAGGTTGATTCTGGTCAAGAAAAACCTATGCTGTGTCTCATAGCAGACATAGCAGGCGCCTGCCCTTGGGGTCTCTCAGATGATGGGGAGCTATGAAGTGGCAGCTTTAGCACCTGGACTAAGTTGTGTGACACAGAGCCCAGTGAGGCCATTAAGAGCTGACATTTGTTGGAGCTGTCGGCTCAATAAAGCTGACATCTATTAAGTGCCTACTGTGTGGCTGGCACTTGCTACTCACTAGTTCATATAATCCTCACAAGTGGATGTGAGGTAAGCCCAATAGTTAGCATCATCTTAGCCGGGGGACAGCTAAGGAGGGTAGTAAGTACCTTGGCCAAGGGTACAGAGCTGGTGAGGGGCAGAGCTGGAACTCACCCTTGGTCTGGCTCCGTAGCCCAGGCAAGTAAGCCCCATGTTCTGCCCATCTCAGAAGGCGGCAGGCCCTGAGCTTTCTCAAAGGGTAGATTTATCAGAAACCAAGGGGGATGGTTAAGCGAGGCCATGTGGTCTCCACCCTCACAACCACCAAGTGCTGTCAGTTTTGCCTCCTAAACATTTGAATCTCTTCTCCCCCCTGGGCAAAGCCACTGCCCTAGTCCAGGCACAGGCTTCTCTCCTGCATTATCCGTCCAGCATTCCTTCCCGGGGCCCAGCCCCTACAGCCCATGTTCCATGTGCCCATAGCCACACCTCCAAGAATTCAACCTCCTCAACTGGAAAGAAAACAGGCCAAAAGAGGCCAAGTAACCTTGGCTCACACTGCAGCTGGGACTAAACCTCAGGACTCCTTAATCTCCATTGCTTCCCTCCAAACCTTACTCCCTGCCTCTGCCCAGCCTCCTCTCCTGTCCTTGACCCAAACCCACCCACTGTGGGGGAGGAGAGGGTACCTCTGGCCACAGGCATTGCTGGGGCTGTGTCACAGCAGTGTCTCCTGTGCAGGCCTCTCCCAGTGGCTCCGGGTCACAGTGGCAGGGCTGAGGGCCGGGAACAGATGGGGAGGTAGGGCATTGGGCCCCAGCTCCCACCATTCTGGCTCTGGGGGTGGAGGGTGAGTGGAGTGAGAGGGTAAGAACTCTCCCTCAGTGGCTTGTACCTATCTTGAGCTCAAGAGCTGACAAGGCTACAGGGACAGGACAAGCAGGAAAGCTTCCAGGTTGAGGTTGTGAGCCCTCAAGATCAAGGGCACCAGACACACTCCTACGTGATCCCTCAGCTCTTCATCCCACTCTTTAGAGCTGGCTTCAACACCCCAGAGGACCTAAGAAACTGAAGCCATGGTCATACATTTCTCACACGCTTCAGCAGGCAGAAAATTGGGATGGGGGACAGTGCTTACTGCAATGGAAGTGTTCACGCCTGGCCTGGGAAGCCTGGACCCAGCCTTGGTCTCCACCCTGGCTCACATCTGTATGGCTTCTCCCCAGGAAGGGCAGGCAGGTCAGGGAGAGGGCATCTAGACACCACAGGCCACCCTTCCTTGAGGAAGGAGGCTGAGGCCTGAGAGTCTGCCCCAGTGTGGTGAGGTGCCACCCAAGTCCTGGGTGAAGTGGGTGGTTTGCCTGGCTGAGGGTCAGCCTAGTTGGAGAAGCCAAACCCTGAGATCCAGCTGACAAATGGGGATCCAAGTGTGTGTGACAGCCCCAGGGAGCACTTCCTTGGGACCATGGTGATACCTGCTAGTCCCCTACCTTTGCTGTTCCAGAAAATTCCTCTTGATGCCCAACCTCCCTATCTCCTTCCTTCCTCTCTCCTAGTGTAGGCAAAACCTTGTCTCCTGTGTCCTCAGAGGTGCCCCTATCCTTTTCCTGGCCACCTGAGAAGCCCCAGAGAGAGAAGCCTGTGCCCTAGGTACCCAGGGAGAAGCTGGGAGAGGTTGGGTCCAAAGCACATCTGCCCCAGGGCAGGAGTTTTCTCTGTAGCTGCTAGGCCAGGCCTCCCTAGGTTTCATCAGGTGTCACTTTCTAGTTCTTCATCCTGTGAAAAGGCCATTAGCATTTAAATATGTCCCCCTCCTCCATGTTTAAACAAATACCAAACACCAGTGAAACACCAAATGAACTAAAAACCAGTCCCTCTGCAGAACCTAAGGCCCCGCCAGCCATGGCCTGGCATGGTCAGGCTTCTGCAGGGAGCAGTCCACTTGGACCTTGCCCTGCTCTTATCACTCGCTTGAGACAATGCCTAACAAGTCCTTATGTCCATGCACCAGGGCATGCATGTAGCACCTGGCTTTGCAGCCCTCCCTGCTCCCACACTCCCCCCTGGCTGCAAGGACACTGCCCTCTCCTGGTTACTTCCACCTTCCTGGCAGTGCGTCCTCTGCCCTGCCCTGGAGCAGCCCAAGATCTGCCCTGGACCCTTCCCCAGGAAGTGCTCCCTCCAGCCCAGTGCCCACCTGAGTCCTTGGAGATATTCTTGTCAGCCAGGTCTGTCTCTTGAGAGCTCCAAGCCTTCACATCCAGATGCCTCTGGACATCTGCCAGCGCTGTCACAGGTGCCCCGGGGCTGCTCTGCCTCTTTTCCCACCAGCTGGCCCTAATCCTTGACCCATTACCAACCCCTGGCAGCTCTGCCCTAGGAATCTCTCTCTTGGACCCATTTGTCTCTCTCCGCCTCTTGCCAGGGTGGCCGCAGCAGCTTGCTGGGGTACCCCTGTTCCCATTGCTCCTCTGCCCTCCACACTGGGACCGAGGGAGCTGATGAATCATGCTCCCCCTCCCTAAATGCTCTGGAGGCTCCCTGGCATCCTTGGCATGAGGCCTGCGTGCCCACCCTCTGCAGCTCATCCTGTTTGTTGGTGCGTGGCCTTTGCACATGCTGTTCCCTCTCCTGGAACACACTCCCTCCCGCCTCCCGCCCCTGCCTTCCTTACCGCCTCTGTGTCCCAGGTTCCACGAGGCTGCTGCTGCCTCTAGAGCTGCCCAGTGTGGTGGCCACTGGCCACATGTGGCTACTGAACCCTTGAAATACGCTAGTTCGTATTGACATGTATAAAACACATACCAGCTTTCAAAGCAAAGAAAATAGCTCATTTGTAATTTTTATATTGATTTTATATTGGAATGAAAATATTTTGGATATACTGGGTTAAAAATATTAATATTATTAAAATTAAGTTCATCTGTTTCTTTTTACTTTTTGAAACGTAATCACACAATTTTAAATCACATACGTGGCTCACACCCTATTTCCTCTGGACAGCCCTCACCCTAGGGCCTTCAGTGAGACCCAGAGGCGGTGAAGCGCCTCCCGCGGGCCCTGCTTCCCTGCGCGGCCCAGCAGGCAGGAGGGACAGCCCGCCCAGCACACACCCAGCACACGCCCGCCACACAGCGGGGCCTGAGAGGTCTGTGTTGAACAGACAGACGGCTGGGGAAGGGCACAGAGAAAGGAAGCTCCTCATGACAGCACTTTCCCACCTTTTATTACTCAACAAATGGATGGGGACGGAGATGCCAGGAGAGGGCCACAGCAAACTGCAATAAATAAGAGAAACGGGGACGGGCGGCGGCCCGCGCCTACACAGCCCCACATAAATAACCAAGTTGCTGAACCGGAGCAGAGGGTGGGGCCGGGCCTGGCAGTCGCCTGCGCTGCCCAGACACACTGGCACCACAGGGCACGGAAGCCACTGAGGCCAGAGGGTTGCTCCAGGCCCACCAACACTCCTCTCCCCGAAGCTCCTGAGATCGAGGGGGAGGTGGGGCAGGCTGGGGCTCTGCGCCACAGCCCTGCCTGGGTCAAGACTGTTTTTGCAATTTCATTAAAAACAGCAGGGTGGGGCAGGCACATGCATTAAGCCCCATCTGTAGGCAGAGCCATGGATGGACACCCCGTAGGGGCCTTGAAGGCAGAGGCCCTGGAAGCAGCAACAGGGGGGCCAGGTAAAGCTACTACCGGGAGTGGTGGCAGAGTCCAGCTCCCCCGCCCCCCACAACCCAGCCCAGAACCTGCCAAGCAGCTGGAGAGGCCCTGGGTACTGAGACGTCATCTCCTCCCACTTCACAGTCAGAAACACCAGGGCCACCAATGGCCGGGAGCATTCCCAGGGTTAGAACCCAGGAACTCAGCCTCCCAGCCCAGGGCTTTTGTTGCCCTTCCCTTTACAGGACCTACCAGAAGAGGAGGGGGAGGCACATCTGCTCTAAGGCCTGTAGAGGGGCAGGGGGGTGGCTAATTACCAAGGGAGGGGGCCAGGGGCTCCAGACACAGGTCCTTCCCTCCCACCAAGCCTAGCCCCTGGCGGTACAGAGAATCCGAGGGCTCCTCGATCTGGCCAGCGCAGGCACGGGGTCAGGAGCATCCTGCAGGGGAGGAGCCAAGGCAGCAGGGACAGGGGCGGGGCTTTCAGTCTGCTCCTGCACACAGTGCTCGCCGACCTGCCTTGCTCCTTACTGGGACGGACGGTCCCACCTCCAGGCCGTGGCCTTTACTGTTTCTTCTGCCACTGCATCTTGGTCCTCACAGTCCCAGCAGCGGCTCTACCTCCTCCAGGAAGCCTTCAGAACCTCCCAGGGCAGGCTGCAGTGCTCTCAGTCTAGGCAGCGCCTCAGATGACCAGGTTGCTCTCACTTAGCCGGACCACGTAGCGGTTCTCCTGGGCCACGGGGGTGAGGGGTCAGACCTGAGTCAGGGGCTGGCTTCTGGGTTCCAGAAAAGTAGCCCCTGCACATCCACCCCTGCCCTATCTTTGGTCACACTTGGCCCTGGTGCAACAGACACCTCCCCCGAGTCCTCACCTCGGCTTTGTTCTCTGCTGGGGGCTTCAGCCACTTCGCATGGCTTCCGCCACTTCCCAGCAGTGCCCGCTGCTCAGGGGGCAGGCCAGGCCGTGGGGAGTCAGGGAGATCACCTGCTGAGGGCCCAGCCTCTGTGATGGTCTTCACCTCAGACACCACT